AGTCAGTGAGAATGAAATAGAAGAATTCTACCAAATTCTTCAATCTGAAATTGATCAAACATGCAGTTAATATGTATTGATCATTAGTGGTGATTAGAATGCAAAGGTTGGGAGCAAAGAGGAAGGACCAGTAGTTGGAAAATATGGCCTTGGTGATAGAAATGATGCTGGAGAATGCATGACAGAATTCTGCAAAATCAATGATCTGTTCATTTCAAATACCTTCTTTAGACAGCATAAGAGACATTTAGACAGGAAAGAGACGACTACACACATGGACTTCACCAGATGGAATACATAGAAATAAAATTGACTACATCTGTGGAAAGAGAGGATGGAAAAGCTCCATATAATCAGTAAAAACAAGTCTAAGGGCAGATTGTGGAACAGACCATCAATTGCTGATATGTAAATTCAAACTGAAGCTGAAGAAAATGAAAACAAGGCCACGAGAGCCAAAATATGACCTTGAATATATTCCACCTGAGCTCATTTAGAGCTCAAGTGAAGAACAGATTTGATACATTAAACACTAAAGACCAAAGACCAGAAGAGTTGTGGGATGACATCAAGAACACCTTACAGGAAGAAAGCAAAAAAGTCATTCAGAAGACAAGAAAGAAGGAAAAGATCAAAATGGATGTAAGAAACTTGCTCTCCAGTGTAGACATGCAAAAAAGCAAATGGAAGAAATAAGGAGGTATAAGAGCTGAGCACAAAATTTCAAAGGTCAGCTCGAGAAGACAAAGTCAAATGTTACAACAAAATGTGCAAAGATCTGGAGTCAGAAAACCAAAAAGGAAAAGAACATGCTCAGCATTTCTCAAGCTGGGGGAAATGAAGAAAAAATTCAAACCTCGACTTTAGTTATTGAAGGATTCTCTGGAAAAATTACTGAATGATGCAGAAAGCATCAAAAGAAGATGGAGGAAATACAGAGTCATTGTACCAAAGGAAATGGTTAAGGTTCAACCGTTTCAAGAGGTAACACATGATCAAGAGCCAATGATACTGAAGGAAGAAGTCCAAGGTACATTGAAGGAATTGGCAAAGAACAAGTCACCAGGAATTGATGGAATAAAAATTGAAATCTTTTAAGAAAGTGAGGCGGCACTGGAGGCACTCACTCATCTATGCCAAGAAATTTGGAAGACAATTATCTGGCTGACTGATTGGAAAAGATCCATATTTGTGCCCATTCCAAAGAGAGGTGACCCAATGGAATTCGGAAATCATCGGACAATATCTTTGATATCCCATGCGAGTAAAGGTAATATAGAAATGTCTGCAAGCATACATTGATAGAGAACTTCCAGAGGTTCAAGTTAGATTCAGAAGAGGCCATGGAATGAGGGATATCATTGCTGATGTTCGATGGATCTTGGCTGAAAGTAGAGAATATCAGAAAGATGTTTACCTATGCTTTATTGACTACGCAAAGGCTTTCGATTGTGTGGATCATGACAACATTGTGAAGTACGAGTATTCCTGAACACTTAATTGTGCTCATGAGGAATCTGTACATGGACCAAGAGGCAGTTGTTTGAACAGAACATGGGAACTCTGAATGGTTTAAAATTAAGAAAGGTGTGTGATAGGGTTACTCAACTTGTATATGCTGAGCAAAAAATCCAAGAAGCTGGGTTATATGAAGAAAAACATGACATCAGGATTAGAGGAAGACTCATTAACAACCTGAGATATGCAGATGATACTACCTTGCTTGCTGAAAGTGAAAGGGACTTAAAATACTTACTGATGAAGATCAAAGAGCACAGTCTTTGGTATGGATTATATCTCAATGTAAAGTAAAAAAAAAATCCTCACCAATGGACCAATAAACAACAGTCTTATCAATAGAGAAAAGACTGAAGTTGTCAAGGACTTCATTCTTCTTGGATCAACTATCTACACTCATGGAAGCAGCAGTCAAGAAATCAGATGACGTACTGCATTAGGCAAACCTGCGGCACAAGACCTTTTTAGTTGAAGAGCAAAGATGTCAACACTTTCAAAGTGTTGAAGAGCAAAGATGTCAGCTTGAGGACTAAGGTGCGCCTGACCCAAGCCATGGTATTTTCAGGAACCTTATATGCATGCAAATGCTGGACAGTAAATAAGAAGACCGTAGAAGAACTGATGCTTTTGAATTATGGTGTTGGAGGAGAATACGGAAAGTGCCATGGGCTGCCAAAAGAACAAACAGATCTGTGCTGGAATTAGTATAGACAGAGTGCTCCTTGGAAGCTAGGATGGCCAAACTTCGTCTCTCATACTGTGGCTATATTGTCAGGAGGGAGCAGTCGCTGGAGAAGGAGATCACGTTTGGTAAGGTGGACGGTCCGAGAAAAAGAGGAAGAGCCCCAGCGAGATGGACTGGCAAAATGGGAGCATCAATGGGCTTAAGCGTGTCAACAATTGTGAGGTTGGCTCAGGATCGGGCAGTGTTTCATTCTGTTGTGCATAGGGTCACTATGAGTAAGTACCAGCTCGATGGCACTTAACAACAACAAAAACTACACATTATCAGACATATAGTAGATAATCAGATTTTTTTTTTTTTTTAGTTTCCTTTCTTTCTAAAAGCATTTACTAAAATAAAATGTAGTAGTAATTTTCAACGCAACCTGAGCAGGGCCAACCTGTAGGTTTCTGGAGTTGAGATTTTTCTCTAGCTAAAAAGCTCATGTGGAACACAAGCAGCTCCAGGATCAGTACACCTTTGGATCTGAAAATTAAGTCAGAGATTTGTGGGGATGGGATTTGAAATGCCAAAGAGGCTTCTGGTTGTACTTCCAAAGTCACAGACTAAAATGCTTCAGGATCAGACAAATAATGTAAATGGGTAAACCAAGGTAGGAAAAGAACATGGTAACAATGGAACCCTCTGTTTTAAGATATTAAATATCTGAAGTTACAGATCAAGCCCCCTAACACTTGGTGGTGTACTTTCAATTCGATTCCAACTGACAGTGCCCCTAGATAGGGTTCCCGAGGCTATAATCTTTATGGGAGCAGAAAGCCTCATCTTTCTCCTGCCCCCTAATATTTAAATGAAGGCAATTAATACAATTTTTTTTTCTCAACAGCATCAGCATCAACACTGTGAAGGCCAAATAAAGCACATCTATGTGCAGGATTTGGCCCCAAATTAGTGTAGTGGTTACAAATCAGGCTGCGAACTGCAAGGTCAGCAGTTAGAAAACTACCAGCTGTTCCGCAGACAAAAGATGAAGCTTTCTGCTCTCGTAAAGATTTACAGCCTCAGAAACCCTGTACAGGATCGCTATGAGTTGGAACTGACTACACAGCACATAACAACAACAACAACCACCGTTGGAAAATGCCAAGTTATAGATTATAAAAAATATGTGGTACAAGATTACTTAATCCTCTAAAAATAACATATATATGTATGTATTCATACAAACACACATAAATGCATGTATATACAATCCATTCACAAGGCTAAATAATAGTATACAACTAACACGTGGGCAAAGCTAAAACTAGAAAAATAAAACCCACTGACTTTTAGCTCTACAAGAATGTAGTCACTAAACTAGCAGTCTATCAACATTATTAAACATGTCTAAACATCCCCATGGAGTCCTGGTGTGGTGCTGTGGGTTAATGCGCCAGACTGCAAAGCCATTTGAACTGCAAGGTTGGTGGTTCAAGCTTACCAGCTGTTCCTTGGAAACCCTATACAGGGTCGCTATGGGTCGGAATCGACTCGATGGCACTTAACAACAACAACAAACATCCCCATATGCAGTGAGGTATTAAAGCAAGCAATCATATACCTTTCTGTCTTTGTGCCACTGCTGATGATCCAAAACTATGTTCTTAATATTTTCAAAAAAATCATCCTTTATCAAGCTGAGGGCTGTATCTGGTTTGGACTTATCAGCAGAAATTACATGTTTCATGTTCTGATAATGATCGTGAACATTCAGCATTTCCTGCAAGGGAAAAAATGAATACTTTAGTTCAATTTCTATGGAGAAATTTAAAGGTCAAACCAACACAAAAGAAACCATCTTTCCAAGTAACTGTGAGGTGATAGGGAGTAACATGCACGTCCTGGTGTGGGGTTGTAGGATAAGCACTTTACTGCTAAGCAACCAGCTGCTCCTTGCAAATCCTATACAGAGTCGAAATGAGTCAGAGCGAACTCGACAGGCCTTAACAACAACAGCAAACCCTGTGAAAGCTAGGATCTGTATAAGATGGAAACCTGTCAAGAGACAGAAAACACAAGTATTTTCGACCAAAAGAAATAATAAAATAGTGCTAAAACTACACCCTGTCAAAGGGAGAAAACTTTCAAGACCCGGAAACACAAGGCAGTCCCACTGAGTTTCAAGTCTACAGGTTTCACTGTGCATTGAAAATAATCAAGCAATCAAAGAATACAACTTTATGAATGAAGAAGCTGCTCCCAGAGGTACGGATTAACTGAACTCAGCTCAACAAACTAAGCTACACTGTTATAGTGAGAAACTAAGGAAAGACTAGTTAGTTAACATACAACTGCACTCCAGGATAGCAGAAAAATTATTGTACAACATATCATTAAATACCATTACCAACAACTAAGATATTTGTATATCATACAGACATCAATGTATTTGCATAGTTTTATATTATACAAAAGAGTTCTGGTGTGGCACTATGGGTTAATGCGCCAGACTGCAAAGCCATTTGAACTGCAAGATAGGTAGTTCAAGCTCACCAGCTGATCCTCAGAAACCCTATACAGGGTCATTATAAGCATAGTGGTTACAAATCGGGCTGCGAACCGCAAGGTCAGCAGTTTGAAACTACCAGCTGCTCCGCAGGAGAAAGATGAGGCTTTCTGCTCCCATAAAGATTTACAGCCTCGGAAACCCTGTTACAGGGTCGCTATGGGTCGGAATCGACTAACAACAATGGGTCAAAACCGACTCAACATCACTTAACAATAACAACAACATATTATACAAATATAAAAATATTTGCATAGTTCTTATGCTGGGCTGGAGATTCCTACATAATAAGCCTCACCCAAACCTTCACAGAGATGTACTGACTTTCACAAATCCCAAAGCCCATTAACTTCATCATTACTCTTCAAGAGTTAAAAAATAAAGGGTGATTCATGACACCATCTGTGGCATCGTTTATTAATTAGACCTTCTTCCCCAGACACTCTAGCCAAATAAGCAGGTCTAGAGTCAGAAAAATAACCCACTTCAGTAGACCTAAAAATTCTGTGTGTCCTGACATAGTGACCCTATGCACAACAGAATAAAACACTGCCTGGTCTAGACCAGAAGAGAGCTATGGACCCTTTCACCAGAGATGACCACTTGGATGTCTGAGTCATTCCTGTTAGATGTTTCACTTCATTTCCAGCAGGTTTAGTGGCATCAACACCTCTGCATAGAATCCGACACTGTAGGATTAGCACTGGACTGCCAATCACAAGATCAGCAGCTCACACACACACACATGCCGCTAAGAGAGAGTTCAAACCCACCAAATCCATGGGCGTAACATGAGGCTTTCTGCTCTCATACAGATTTACAGGAAACCATATACAGGGTCGCCAGGAGTTGGGACCAACTCAATGGCAGTGGATTTGGTTTTTTGTTAGGTCGTGGTGAATGAGCCCTGAGGGTATAGTGGGTAAAGCAATGGGCTGCTACCCACAGGTCAGCAGTTCAAATCCTTTAGTGGCCCAATGGGAGAAAAATGAAGCCATCTGCTCCCATAAAGATTTAATGTTAGAATCCGTAAAGAGCAGTTCTACTCTGTCGTATATGGTCACTGCGAGTCAGAATTGACTTAATGGCATTGGCATTTTTTTTAGATTCAGGGAGTGATGAGTACTCCCACGAACAGTGTTTGCCATGGGAAAACTGTTCAGATATAGGGATCCCTTAACTCTTGACAGTTAACAGTATTCAAACTCCCATTATTACTCTATAAGCAATACATGCTCCACACAATACAGTGAAAAGACACGAGTGACATCTGGTTTTGAGCTTGAATGATGTCAAATTCTAGATGTGTGACTTGTGCAGATCCCTCAACCAGAGCATCACATTCCACATTTGTGCAAAACGAAGTAAACCTATTCCTCACTTATTGACTATCTCATTATCCGACATGTCACACTGGTGCTGGATACTTGCAAAACATCAATTTTACATAAAGATTTGATCTTTGGAACCAACTCACGTTGACAAGTGAGGAGTTGGTGCAACATCAACTGACCCACTGGTATGTTGTAAATACAAAGTGAGTTTATACAAATGGAAGTGCTTTGTGTATCATAGAAAGCACATAACAAATTAGAGAATTAAGAAATAAAAGTAAGAAAGTGCATGGACTTTGGAGCCTTACAGATGTGGACACTCAAATTTAATGTTTGCACCTATTACACCTTCTTCTTCTTGTTGCTGGTTGTCCCTGAGTCAATTCCTAATCACAGTGACCCCAGCTGTTGCAGAGTGGAACTTCTGCATATGGTTTTCAAGGCTGTGACTTTTGGAAACAAATCGTCAGGCTTGTCTTCCAAGGTGCCTCTGCATGAGTTCAAACTGCCAACCTTTCAGCTAGTCACTGAATGCTTAACTGAAATTACTTAACTTCTTCGAGTCTCACTTTCCTCATTGTCAAAAATGGGATAATACCTACTCTTCTCTATTCAGAGTTATGGTTATGATTAGTGATACAATGTGGGTAAAGCATCTAGCACATGATCAGCATACAATAAATCATGGTCACTATTATAACTTTATAAATGAGAAGTATCAGAAATAATGAGCTGTTCAAGGTTTTCTTAAGTGGCAGAACCAGAATTAGAAATCATACATTTACCATCTTACTCACTTTGCCCATTTTTTATTTCTCTTTAGACATAAACTAGAACTAACAAAGGACAGAATTATATCGGAATGCAGGTCTTCTGAAATAGAGACATCATAGCTTTTGCAGACAGTTGTTATGTGCCGTGGAGTCGGTTCCGACTCATAGCGACCCTGTACAGGGTTTCTGAGGCTGTAAATCTTTACGGAAGCAGAAAGCCTCATCTTTCTCCTACGGAACAGCTGGTAGTTTTGAACTGCTGACCTTGAGGTTTGCAGCCCAATTCGTAACCACTACGCTACCAGAGCGTAGACAGTAGAAGGTAATATAAATGCCTTAAATTTAAGAATTATGAGTGAGAATGGGCCCTTGTCTCTGCTAGCACAGGAGAAAAAGACGTGAAATACCACAAAATCAAACTCTATGGGCTCCCTATTTTAACAAGTGAGTGATTTCCTAAAGACAACATTTAATTAATAGGAGATAATACACGAGAAAAAGAGGAAGACCCCAAGCGAAATGGATTGGCAGAGTGGCAGCATCAATGGGCTCAAGAGTGGCAACAATTGTGAGGTTGACCCAGGACCGGGCAGTGTTTCATTCTGTTGTGCACAGGGTTGCTATGACTCGGTATTGACTCGATGGCACCTAACAACAACAACAGTAATACATGAGTTGGGGCGATACAAAATGCAGACAGAGGTAATGAGGGAAAAGACTCTGAAGACAGAAATGTATTAAGCAAAGATCCTAGAAAATACCAGAACGACTTCTCACAGCCGACTCCATTCCTGAAGCATCCAGGATAGGCATTTCATAGCCTGGCCCTCCTGATTCTCTTTTCCAGTCACCCTGGAAGAGCACCACCTTGTGCATCGCTCCTACTTGGATCTCTAAAATCTTCCACATGTATTTGCGGACATATAATTTATTCAACAGAGGAACCCGTAATTCAACATGTTATAGTAAAAGAGCTTAAAAAGGAAAAAGCATGATTAAGACGGTATATTGAAAAAAAAAATGTTCTACTACACGATTAGTCAACAATTAAAAATTGTAACTGACAAGGTTCAGATCATCTTAAACTCATTAAAAGAATGTTGACATCAACATCTTACTATTCTAAACCATCTGCCTCTCTCTTCAAGATTCACATCAGTACCTCTTAGGAAACTCTTTCTGATATCCTAGCTTTCTCTTCTATTCTCCACAGTGCCTATTCCAAATGTTCATATGACCCTTAAGGTCCTTGAATCTCACAGTCCTCTGTTAAACCTTAGGCTACCAGGTCTGTCTGCCTTCTTTTTCTCATCTTTACAATGAATTATACAAATACTTTCCTCACACTTTCCCTTAAGTTTCATAGGAAGAAGTATGATTTCTCCTGCTCGAGGTTAATACCTCCACTGAGCTCTAGATCATAAAACCACCTACACCCTCCATGGGTAAACACTTTTCCTTCCCTTCTACACAACCTTTCCCCCTTAACTAGCTCCTTATCTGAAGACTAAAATATACTGTAAGTGTCTAAACCTTTTAAACAACCCCCCTATACCAAAATGATAAAATCTAAATTCCTTCTAATGTACAAACTACTTTTACCACACTAATTTCTCTACATTTAGTCTTTTCCACCTCTTTTTCACTATGCCTATAAAGGGAAACGATCCCAGTTCGTCTTCAACTTCAGGCACTCAGACGTTTGCTGAATAATGTACCGTTGGCTAAAACCAGTTTCAGCTTAAATGACACGGAGCTCTTGCCATCTAACAGTTAGTGCAGCCAGATGGAAGTGGGAATGACCCTCAACTCCAGCACTTTCTAACTGAATCTCTCTCCACCTCAGTTTCCTCAACTTTAAATAAAGGATAAAACCACTTACTTAAAGAATCCATATTTCCTGAGTCCAAATCCAGCCTTCTACATCTTTCTGTTTCTCACCATGCTTTCAGATCCCTTAATACATTTAGGATATATTATTTATGATACTTTAGAAAAGTAATAACAATTGGTTAGAAGATAGAAAAGATTTGAGTGTATGGTAGACAAAAGGTTATCATCTCAGTATATAATTAGAAATAAACTTTTTTTTTAAGCGCACGAGCATAAAAGCAAATGTACCTCTAACACATCAGAAGTGATGAGTTTCATTACACGATCATCTGGATCCTTAAATTCTTCTGTGACTTCAGTTCGTTGAATTTTTTTCTTCATCCTATATGACAGCTACATGATAATGAACATCATTTAACCTGATGTCCTTTAAACGAAGTTTTAAAGTACTAAAATATAAGCTAGCAGTACACATTGTCTAACAGTAAACAGTAACGAAACAAAAGCAAGTCTTGAAACATAAAGTTGCTGTTAGGAGCCATCCAGTCGGTTCTGACTCACAAGCAATGAGACACTGACTGGGCCTGCGCCATCCTCACAATTATTGTAATGTTTGAGTCTACTGTTGCTGCCACTGTGCCAATCCATCTGTTTAGGGCCTCACCCTCCAGTTTATCAAGCATAATGTCCTTCTGTATTTGATAATACATTTGTTAAATTATCCATTTTCCAAAGACCATTAGTAGACTTCTAAAATATACCTAAAATGCCATACTATATTCTTACGAATTTGGAGAAGTTAAAAGCTTTTCAGCTAGCAAAGAACCAGAATTAGAACCTAGGACTCCTAGCCCTAGTCCACTTCTGTTACAACTAAAGCCCACTTTCTTGCCACAATCTTGTCATAAGACTGAAGAACTATCATACTTTATCAGCAAAAGTTTCAACTTGCCATCAAATGACAATAAAATTCTTCAGTTCTCTTTCATAAGTTACTTCTCTGCTATCTAGATACAGGTATAAGCAAATTCATATGCCGGATCTAATTATCTCAAAACTATCTACTTTAATACATGGCATCCTGTATGTAATAGCATATATAGTGGTGGTCGTTAGGTGCCGTGGAGTCAGTTCCGACTCATAGCAACCTTGTACAGGGTTTCTAATGCTGTAAATCTTTACGGGAGCAGAAAGCCTCATCTTTCTCCTGTGGAATGGCTGGTAGTTTTGAACTGTTGACCTTGAGGTTAGTAGCCCGACTAGTAACCACTACACTTACATAGACTGAATTTTCATTTTCAAAACAAGTAGCCAGAAGACACTTTAAGAAAGTCTTATTTTAAGAAATAAAATACTCCTATTTTAAGATAGCTTTCTACAAGTATTAGAATGCATAATATTCTTTCAATTTTCTGGAGATTGAGATTACTTTATGAACAACGGCATTAATTTCACATTTTGAAAAAACAATCTATTTTAGATAACATACCAATTTGGGCATTGCCGTAAAGTGAAATGCTTTGTCTAGCCGTAGTTTCCTAAAAATATAAGCTGCATCAAAATGCTGTGCATTTATCAAATCTTGCTGAAATTTTAAAACTTCATCCCAATCCTTCAACGCAACTCTAATCTGCAACCAGGAAGAATAACGAGTTGTTAGCAAATGTCATTTAAAAACAACAACAGCAAACATGCATCATATTAAAACACTGACATTTCTATTTAAATTAGTTTCTTGTAAAAATGTTACCTTTTCACCAACTATTACCTTTTGTTTGGGTTGGCATAGTTGGGTGTTATATAATCCATACAGAAGATACAAAGCACCAACTCGGATCTGGAAAGTGTAGGGAGGTAAAAAATATCGCCAGGCCAAAGCTAAAGCTTCTTTTGTAAACACATTCTTTTCCAAACTTCTCATTCTCCCACTAGAAAACAAAGTGAGCATAAATTATGACTCAATGAGAACAAGCTAGAAGAAGTATACCAAAGCAAACCGATGCCATCAAATCAATTCCAATACACTGCAACCCCATGTGTTACAGAACTGAACTGCACCACAGTTTTCCTGATTGTAATCTTTTTTGACCACAGTGTGCATGGGGTTGTGTCTTTTCACCATACATACTCAATCTGTATGCTGTGCACGTAATCTGAGAAGCTGGATTATATGAAGAAGAACATGGCATCAGGATTGGAGGAAGACTCATTAACAATCTGTGATATGTAGATGATACACCCTTGCTTGCATAAAGTGATGAGAAGTGTTGGAAAGGTAAATGTAAATGTTTTGTAACAAAAGGAGGGGAGTGGCTGATTTTGCAGTCCAGGAGTGGAGATCCCTGGAACCATCAAGGGAGGGAGAAAAGTGAAGCGCAGGTCCCAGAAGGCAGTGACACCAGAGATGGAGGCAGAGGTGATGACATAGAAAGAGCAGCTGGGGACTCTGGACTCAGGGAGGAAGAGGGGCTGTATGCTGGTGGCCAGGGTGCAGGCATGTGGGATGCATCCTTTGGTTGGTTGATGATGCATGCAGGGGATTGTAATCATTGCAATGAAACGAAATATGATAGGATAAATGTAAAGATAATGTTCTCCCATATAATATAACACATAATTCACAATAAGAACTTTAAAAAAAATAAAAAATTTTGCTAATCAATTCCAACAAGAAATTGCCTCATAGAATTTCTAAGGTTGTAATCTTTATGAGAATCCTAATGTGGCACTATAGGATAAGCACTGGACTGCTAATCACAAAGTAAGTGGTTCAAGCCCACCAGCTACTTCTCAGAAACCCTATACAGGGTCTCTATGAGTCAAACTAATTTGACATAATTTAATAAGAAACAGTGGATACCAACAATTTAGAGTCCTAGTGTGGTGCTATAGGGTAAGCACTGGACTGAGCCCTGGTGTAGCGCTGTGGGTTAATGAGCAAGGTTGCAAGGTTGGTTTAAACCTCAGGGTTGGTGGTTCAAGCTCACCAGTTGCCCCTTGGAAATCCTATACACGATCGCTGTGAGTCGGAACCAATTCAATGGCACTTAACAACAACTACTAACTGCAATGTTAGCAGTTCAAACCTACCAACCACTCCCTGGAAGCTCTATACAGGGTCACTAGGGGTCAGAATCGACTCAGTGATACTTAACAGCAACAACAACAAGAATCGGTATGAATGCCGACTGCCACATCTTTCTCCTGCAACTGATGGGTTCCAAATGCCAACCTTTCAGTTCAAAGTCAAAATGTACTGCCACTGTGCTGCCAGGGTTCCATAGATAAGATAGAAGAGATATACACTTGCTGAAAGAGCCACTGTGAGAAATTGAAAGAATTTTGAAAGAACCATGGACTGCCAGAAAAACAAACAAATCTGTCTCAGAAGAGGTACAGCCAGAATGCTCCTAAGAAACAAAGATGGCACAGCTTCATCTCACATACTTTGAACACACTACCAGGAGGGACCGGTTCCCAGAAAAGGACATCATGCTTGATACAGAAGAGGATTAGAGGGGGGAAAAAAAGAGCCCCACCAAGACGGACTGACACAGTGTCTGCAGCACTGGGCTCACACCTAACAACTGTGAAGATGGCTTTCGTTCGGTTGTACATGGGGATTCTGAGTCAGAGTTCATTCAACAACATCGAACGACAATAGACGCACAGATTCTAGTATCTGCTCTATCAACCTATTTGCATGGTAATCTTGGGGAAATTATTTACCCTCCTAGATCCGCAATTTCTACCATCTATAAAAATAAGGATAATTATAACCACTTTCAGAGTTGTTTTATAGGTTACATAATTTAACTATAAATACATTATTACATTGAGTTGCCATTAAAAAATTAGTACTTCTCTTTCATTAACTGCACAATAAACATCTCTCCATCCCCAGTAGTAAACAATCTTTCATCAAGAGAGAAAAAAAGATAACTTTTATATTTTATTACACAAAACAAGTTTAATCATAAGGGATCATTCATTTAGCCAATATTTTGTCTTTGCAATATTTTATGCAATATGTTAAAAGAGCTACAACAAAGTCACTCAGCCACTGTCTTCACTGGGCTTATTCTACTGGGGGCGGGAATTAAAAATTAACAATAACAAACATTTATTGAGCACTTGGAGTTCACGTCATATATATCAGCTAGTTTAATCCTCACAACAACTATATGAGGTATTAACATTATTCTTGTTTTACTAGTAAATAAGCTCAGGCAGGTAAGTAATTAGCCCAAAGTGACAGCTAGTTCATGGTCGGGACATTCAATTGCAGGTAGCTGAACTCCATAATCTCTGCTCGTTACCTACCTCTCCAACTACACAATTACAATAATACTGTGTTAAGTGGAGGATGAAACTAGCACAGGTTTCTACAGGGGGGAAAGGAGCACCCACACCTTAGTGCAGAAGAGCAGAGGGAAGCTTCCTTGAGAAACTGACTTCTTGTTGCTGTTAAGTGCCATCGAGTCAGTTCTGTCTCATAGCGAACCTGTATTGGGTTTCAGAGGAGTGGCTGGTGGGTTTGAACCACCGACCTTGTGGTGGTTGAAACCCACCAGCTCCATAACTGGGCTCCAGAAGGCAGATACTGGTGTAAGAAAGTGAGTGTTATAGAGGGGTCTGGTAATGATGCTAGAGAGAGATGGGCAACAAATGCCGATCACGAAGGGTCTTGCCAGCCATTTAGGGAAATAGCGCTTTATCCCAAATGAAATGCGAACACCGAGGTTGATGAACAAGGCAGGAATGGCAGGATCAGATTTCACTTTAGAAAGATAAGGTCGGCTATGTGAAAAAAATGAATTCTATCTAGAGTTCTTTTTGTTTGTTCGTGTGCTTGTTTTCTTTTTAAGCACGAGTTTCTAGGACAGCAAAGTCAGTGAGGTCAAATGAGGGTGGGGGCAATGGAAATGAGAGAAAAGTTGAGAAGGGCCACCGCCGCCAGGAGGAGACGAAGATTCGGAATGAGGGAGCCAGAGAAAGCAACAGAAGCCCAGTGAGATCGCCCAGGGAAAGCAAGACCCGAAGGTCCTGGAGAGATGAAGACAGCGGGTAGTCTCTCTACACACAGGTGAGAGACGGGTACGGTGTGTGGGGGCTGGGATGAGGAGGAAGAACCCCCAACACGCCCTGGGGCCAGGAGAGAAAAGGTTAGTAGCCAGAAGAACCCACCAGAAGATGGTGCCGAACTTCATGCTCCTCCAGAGCTCAGTGAAGTCCTCGAAGCGCACGCTGTCAGTCTCCTGGAAGCGGCTGAGCAGCGCTTCGCAGTCAGTTTGCAGGCCTGGAGGAGTCTCCATACCTCTCAGGTCCCTGCACCACGCCTGTACTTCGACCAGGTGAAGAGCACCAGGCCCGCAACGTCGCCGAGGAAACCAGGCCGGAAGCCCCGCCCCTACGTCGTGACGCACACGCGTTCTACGACGTGTGGCCCAACCCCTTTTAGTTCCGCTCATTCCTAGGCTCCCATTACCAGGTATTTGATTTATTGCGCGTGTCTAGTTTTGTTCTCTTGTTTACCGGCTTAATTGTTACCTTTACTCCTTTAAGAATAAATCCAATTCTTCTGATTTCACCGAAAGTCTCGCGAGAGGACGAAGGGTTTTGTTTGTTTGTTTGTTTGTTTTTAAAGGTCTTGTTTCCGCTGGTTTATGTAAATTAGTTCTGCCTGTACTCTCAGTCTCTTAAAGTACCGTGGTTGTTGTTGTTAAGTACCTTCGAGTCGATTCCGACTCATAGCCACCTTTTACAGGGTTTGCGAGGAGAGGCTGGTGAATATGAACTACCGGCCTTGCAGTTCAGTGTATTATCCTACAGTGCACATGTAATAATGTGTGAAAATATTCAACTTTACAAGATCATATTGCATTGCTTTCTAGAGAGATTGGATTTACACTTCACTAGCAGGTTACCGTGAGTCTGAATCAACTCAATGGACTACTGACTTCCCAATTGCACCGCATTATCTCAGAAACTGGGTAGCTAATTGTGGTCTTAATGTATACTCATATTTCTCAGATTGTTAATACTTTCTAACTTTCTATTTTATGTTTTCTCTACTGTGAATTGCCTGTTCATATATTTTGCCTATCTTTCGATTGAATGGTTTGCCCTTTCCGTACCAATTTGTAGGAGTAGTTTACATATTCTAGACATAACTGAGGTGTGTTATATGTATAACAAATGCCTTTTCCCAGTGTGTGGTTTGTTTTTATTTACTATCTTTATAGTAATTATTGATGTACAGAAATTATTTTTAATGTTAATTTTGTAGCATTTTCTGATAAGGACATTTATATGACCCTAAGGAGTCCTGGTGTGGCACTGTGGGTTAATGCACCAGACTGCAAAGCCATTTGAACTGCGAAGCCAGCGGTTCAAGCTCACCAGCTGCTCCTCGGAAACCCAATACAGGATCACTATGAGTCAGAACCAACTTGACGGAACTTCACAACAACAAAAACAAGGTTAATGCCCCAGACTGCAGAGCCGTTTGAACTGCAAGGTTAGTGGTTCAAGCTCATCAGCTGCTCCTCAGAAACCCTATACAGGGTCGCTATGGGTTGGTACTGACTTGACAGCACTTAACAAAAAGAAAACCATAAAACCAAACTGATTGCCCTCGAATCAGTTCCAACTCATGGCAGCCTTAAGTGTCACAGAGTACAACTGCTCTATAGGGTTTTCTTGGATGTCATTGTAATATAAGTAGATCACTAGGTTTGAACTGCCAAATGTTAGATTAGTAGTTGAGTAAAAATCATTTGTGCCAGCCAGGTGGTTATGTGCCATGGAGTTGGTTCCGACTCATAGTGACCCTGTACAGGGTTTCCGAGGCTGTAAATCTTTACGGGAGCAGAAAGCCTCCTCTTTCTCCCGCGGAACAACTGGTAGTTTCAAACTGCTGACCTTGTGGTTCGCACTCTAATTTGTAACCACTACACCACCAGGGTATAACACACGTAATGGTGGTGGGTGGTGGTTATGTGCCGTGGAGTTGATTCCGGCACATGGCCACTCTGCATAGGGTTTCCGAGACTGCTGACTTTGCTATTAGCAGCCCAGCTTGTAACCCACCAAGCTACCAGAGCTCCTTAACACATGTAATAGCTAACATTTACCGAACATACAATGTTGTTAACACCATTTAACACGGGAACAGGCTCAGAGAAATCCAACAGTCCATGATTTGAAACTAGGTCTGACTAACTGCAAAGCTCAAACTTGAAACCTCAGACTTCTACCTAAGAAGATTTCACATGACTTCTGGAAGTTTGCCCTGAGAAATGAAGCATTCCTTTGTGATAATGGATGATAGCTGCAGGTGCAAATTAAGTCAGTACATGGTACTTTTGTTGGTCACCAGGAAAAGTGCTGGTGGAAGGATGATGGTGATAGTGGTGGTTATGTGCTGTGGATGGTTTGTTCTACAGATGGCCATGGCCGTGTTTTAGTTGATGATATTGAGCTTCTCCATTGTCTCTTCCCACAGATGTAGTAAATTTGATTCCTGTGTATTCCATCTCGTGAGATCCACATGTATAATCACCATTTATATTGTTGAAAAAAGGTATTTGCAATGAATAAGTCATTTGATCTTGCAAAACTCTATCATGCATTCTCCAACGTCATTTGACACCAAGTTTTTATTTTTCAACTAGGATCCCTCCCCTTTGTTTCCAACATTCAGATGCCAATTACCAGTAATTCTCAATGCATCTTGAGTGCATGGTGGATCAATTTCAGACTGAAGAAGTTGGTGGTGATAATGGCTGTGTGCCGTTGAGTCAGTTCCAACTCATAGACCCTGTAATGCAGGGGTGGGGAATGTCCAGCCTGCAGGCCGTATGTTGTTGTTTTTGGGTGCTGTTGAGTCAGTACTAACTCGTAGCAATCCTGTGCACAACAGGATGGAACACTGCCCGGTCCTGCACCATCCTCACAATTGCTGCTACACTTAGCCCATTGCTGCTGCCACTGTGCCAACCCATCTTGCTGAAGGTCTTCCTCTTTTTCTCCTACTCTCCACTTTACTAAGCATGATTTTCTTCTCTAGGAACTGATTGATCCCTCCTGATAATATGTCCAAAGTATGAGAGACAAGTCTGGCCACCCTGGTCCCAGGAGCATTCTGGTTGTGCTTCTTCCAAAACAGACTTGTTTGTTCTTTTGTCAGTCCGTGGTACTTTTAATATTCGCCTCCAGCATCATAACTCAAATGCATCGATTCTTCTTTGCTCTTCCATATTCACTGTCCAACTTTCACATGCATATGAAGTTAGTGAAAATACTATGGCTTGAATCAGGCATGCACCTCAGTCTTCAAACTGACATCTTTGTTCTTTAAAGAGGGCTTGTGTAGCAGATTTGCCTAATGCAATTCGTTGTTTGATTTTTTGACTGCTGCTTCCGTGAGTGATGATGGTTGATCCAAGCACAATGAAGTCTTGGACAGCTTCAATGTTTTCTCCATTTATCTTAATGTTATTTATTGGTCCAATGGTAAGGATTTTGTTGTCTTTACATTGAGGTGCAACCCGTGCTAAAGGCTGTGTGGTCTCTGGTCTTCAGAAAGTATTTCAAGTCCTCTTCGCTTTCAGCAAACAAGATTGTATTATCTGCATATCGCAGGTTGTTTATGAGTTTTCCTCCAATCCTGATGCCAAGTTCTTCTTCATGTAATCCAGCTTCTCAGATTATGTGATCAGCATACAGATTGAATAAGTATGGTGAAAGAATACAACCCTGGCACATACCTGTTATAATTTTAAACCATTCGGTGTTCCCTTGTTCTGTTTGAACAAGTCTGTGCCACATATAGAAAGCTTACTTATAAGTTGATTATTTTGTTTGGTCTGCAAATTATGTTACATGTTTTGGCAAAAAAGAGATTCCTCACCCCTGCTATATAGGGTTTCCAAGACTAAACCTTTCTCCCATGAGTGACTGGTAGATATGAACTAATGACTTGTGGTTAGCAGCCCAGCTCATAATCCACTACACTACCAGGCTCCTTAAAGAAATTGGTAGAATTCTTTAATTTCTTCATCATTGACTTTGATGATTGGTACATAAATTGAATAATAATGGTATTGTCTGGTCTCTCTTATAGGTGTATAGATAGTATCCTATCACTAGTAGCATTGTATTTCAAGACAGATCTTGAAGTGTTTTTTTCTGGCGAGTCTTCTTTGTCATTCCAGGTATAGTAAACCATATGATTGATTAAAAATGGATAATACTTGTCATTTCCAGCTCACCAATGCCTAAGATATCTTTATGTGTTTCATTTTATGTTTGACAACTTCCAGTTTTCCTAGATTCACACTTTGTACATTCTGCATTCCAATTATTAATGGATGTTTGCAGCTATTTCTTCCAAATTCAAGTTGTGCCTTATGAGCAGATGAAGGTTCTGAAAGCTTTGCACCATCCATGCCATTGTGGTCGACTCTACTTTGAGGAGGCAACTCTCCCTCAATTCTGTTTTGAGTGGCTTTCACCTGAAGGGGCTCATCTTCCAGAACTATGTCACACAGTGTCTCTCTGCTATTCACAAGGTTTTCAGGGGCTAATCCCTCAGAAGTGGACCACCTATTCCTTCTTCCTAGTCTGTCTCAGTCTAGAAACACCATTGAAACCTGTCCACACTATGGGTGACCCTGCTAGTATTTGAAACACAAGTGGACCTAGCTTTCAGCATCAAAATCTGCCATGTTATGCCACAGATGTGTGGGGATCAAGAATATAGACCCACATTTACATGTTGAGATACTCATAATAGAGAGAAGTGATATAACTGTGAAAAGGCTCCTGTGGATAACTACCAAAGTGAGTAAAAAATGAACTGTACTCTGCTTCTATTGAAACTTCTGTTGGTTTCACTGTCTTATCAGTGCTTTCCATTCAGTGTCACTGTTGTGCAATGTGAACATGTGCAAACAAAATTTGGACCAATACTTGAAGGAAGGTAAACGTTTCTTTAGAAAATGGTTACTGGGAAAACGGTATGCAAAAGATTGAAACAAGACCTTCAACTCACACCTTATACAAAAACCAGCTCAACATAGATTAAGGACCTAACTGCAAATCCCAGAATTATGAAGGCCATCAATGAAAAAATAGGGACAAATGTGAGGGCACTAATTCAGGGAGTACACAGACTACAAAACATTTGGAAACCACACAAACAAAAGTAGACAAAATAGATGAGTGGGACATACTAAAAATTAAAAACTTATGTGCATCAAAAGACTTCACCAGAAGAGTAAAAA